ACGCCGACACTAACTATCGTCTCCCCCCTGCATGCTTGGGCTTGCGTCGTGCGCCGTGCCGTGCCGCGCCGTGCCGAGCGCCGAGAGAATCGCGGGGGGGGGGGGGGGGGGGGGGGGGGGTGATAGCTTAACTGAGCAGGGATCAACTCACCGTCATTTCGCCGGTACGGAACTTCCACTTGTAGCCTTTGTAAGCTCCAATAGCGCCTGATGGGTAGGCAATATCTAGTCTGCAGTGCATGCGTATACTGCAAGGTGGCCTATCCTATGTCTCGCAGGCGCCGGGGTCCCATAATTTGCGAGGGAGGCAAGGGGCTGGGAGGGAAGAGTGCTAGGGTGGGCCATGGCAGCGATTGTCTCACTGACTGAAGCTCCACGGTTTCACAGTGCAGCAGCGCGTCGTGCCCGCCGTTAGGCTGCAGCAGCCAAGTGTGGATTTGCTCCGGAGGCAAATGTCCAGAATGTCAACCACGCGTTGCGGCACGGTGCCTGCACAGGCTGCACAGCCCCCCAGCCCCACCTCTGGCCTGCAGCGACGGCAGGGCCCTCATCAAAAATAACTTTGTAAGCATAGGGAACCCACAACCCGCCACTGCCATATTCTGTCAATGGGGCATGATTATTCCTTGATGAATTTGAGAGTTTGAGATTTGTAACAAGGCAATTTATTCTTGCATTTCCTTTTTTCAGGTGTGTACTACCCCAGCATCAATAAGGGCGGCAGACGACAGTGAGCGTCACAACCACATCCAAGAAACAATTTAATAAAATTGATAATTTCAATAAAATTTTGAGTATCAGAGCAGACGGCAAATGTTTTGTTTCATGTTAATTTTTTTTGAAATACAATCTACATTACAATCTAAGTTAGACCTGTCCAAGTTTCGAACAATGAAGAGAGATAAGTTGTCAAGAATAAAGAGATTCAATAAATCATTGTTTATCAGTGAAATGAGCAATGGCTAAATTGTTCAAATTTTCATTTTTAACTCCCTTACTATTGACATGCCAAAGTGAGTAATTCTGACACACTAATTAGATTTACTGCAGTATTATTGCCAGCAAATCATGTCAACAAATTTAAACAATGAACTGGTTAGCCACGTTCATGGCTCTCGTTCTCGGCCAAATCAAATTGTAGTCATGTTATGTTCCTTCAAACTTCGGTGAACTTTCTAAAAGCATAAGGCTGATACGTAACAATTAAAACATAGATAATTGATACAAAATTGTAGGAAGCAAAGTTTATTTTCCATTTGCACAATTTATAGTAAGGCTCAGCTAAGTCGACAGCAACAGTTGCACAAGATTACAATAGAACCCAAAATAATTCACACATACCTACTTAGAGAACATGTAACTTACGTATTCAATGTAATACAAACTATTAATCAGATGTTACAAGAGGCCAAACAGGCAGGAGAGGACAGTAAAATGTACATGGTTCAAGTTCAACACAGAGACTACCATAACAAGAGTCTGAAGGATCACCTGTAGACGCGGCCAGTCTGCCAGTGCCACTCCAACAGGGGCTGCATTACGCGAGACGCCTCAGGTAACTGACCACAGAATAGGATAACTTGAAACTTGATGAGCAGACGACATCGACGGGGCCGGTTGGCTTGGCCCGCTGGCGCTAGTGCTGGCGCGAGCAACGCAGTGCCGATAACGATCATGCAGTACGTCAACTTTGGCGACGTATTGTCGTGCCGCCTCATCTTCTGGCTTCTGGCTAGCAACATCCAATAGAGAATGCCATCAAGTCTTAGGGCGGACAAGGGCACAAGCAACTCGAGAATCTTGAGCGCCTCCGAGAGGAGAGGAACATCAAGGTCGGCATCTGCACGCATGGCCCTGAGCAGTGTCCCTCCCCGGAGGCAACATCTTCCGGCTAGCAACATCCAATAGAGAATGTCATCAAGTTCTGGGGCTGGGGCGGCCACGGCCGCCCCTGGGCCAGTGCCCCTCCAACAGGGGACGCCCGGGCTGCATTACGCGTGACGTCCCAGGACACTGACCACAGAATAGAACAACTTGATAAACGGATCAAGTGCCCTGGTCTGCACCTCGTGGGCATGGAGCTGCTCAAGTTCCCCGATGAAATCATTCTGATTGTCCTCGAGAAGGTCCGGAGGATTGACCTGTTCGCTTGCCGACTCGTCTGCCGCAGGAGGCTGACTCGCTCCGTGCCTGGCGAAGCTGGTTGTCGCCCTGGCCACGTCCTCCAACTGCCACCCGCTGACGCTGTTCTCGACGAAGTGCGCCGCATCCTTCCTGCAGTTGATCGTGCGGCCATTCCGTCGTGTTGGACAACAATGACTACGACACGCCCCACTCCGTCTGCGCGGCCTTCTTGCCGTGGACCCACCCTCGGTGGCGCAGCTGAGTGTCTACGACCCCAACGAGGCCCACCTGCGCGTGCTGCACGCCCTGCCGCGGCTGAGTAGCGGGCGCACGCTGCATCCCTCATTTGATGAACAGAACGAAGAAGAGCTCGGGGTGGTGAGTGCGGCGGCACTGGCGGCTGGGCGAGCTGCTGTCAGGCTTGCGGAACTTGAAGGTCCCACAGCTGCTCCTGGGCATCAAGCCGGCGGCGTCGGCCACGGCTGGCACAGTGCGATAGACTTGCTCACGAAGTGATGAGGAGGCGGCTGCCAGACGATCAGAATGAGCGCAAATAAGGCCCTGCGCACTACACAGCTGAAGAGAGTAGCTCGGCCAGTTCCCTAGGGAATGCAGGAGTTGCCCGTGTTGGTCAGGCGAAGTTGAAGCAAGCTTCCAGCAAACGAGGTGTCACAAGGCGTGATCAGAAGCGCAAGCCTGCAAAACAAATTCATAGTTAGTTCATCGTTGATGCAAAGGATTACTCCATTTGAAAACTAATTGTGTTCTGCCAACAAAAGAAATCTCACCTCATGTCGCAAAAATGAGGAGCCTCGACAGATGGAGAGAAATGGTGAAAATGGTGGTCAAGTCTCTCAAAGATCAAGGGTTGAGAGTTGGTTAACAATCTGAAAGAAGATATTGCAACAAGTTGTTAGCAACAGACGTCACAAGAAAATATAACAAATAAAAAAAAATGTTGAAGTGGTCTAACTAATGAAGACTTAATTCTCACCTGCATTCAAGTATTTTTCTCTCACTTCAAGTTCACTCACAGCCACCAAGAGAAAGAGTTGCTGTACTTCAACAACTCACAGCATCCGACAGCTCCGCAAAGTGATACCTGT